GCCGCGGTCCCACGTCTTGATCAGGTTCTGCTTGCTGAAGCCGCGCTCACATTCAACCGTGCTCAGTGGTAGCACGGCGACATACTACCACATCCGAACGATGTTGGGAAACGAAGCACGCCACGCCTCGTCGCGCAGCATGTTCCCCAGCGTCTGATGAAACTCCTCGTTGTTGTGCTGGGAGAACATGGTCGAGGTAAACATCCAAAGCTCCAGGCCAGCACGCTTGTAGTCGAACCCTGGTAGTGCGATAGGGGTTGAAAATTTGCATATGCTCATACATATGGGTTGGAGTGGGAGGCATTAGTCCAACAATACAGGGCCGGGTGATGAGCAGCAACAAGCGCATTGGGACACAAGCTAGTGCAAAGCAAGGAACATCAAGTCAATCTCAGATAGCCGACACATCAGACACGGACGCTTACCAGGCAGTTTGTGGTTGTACAGCTTGTGGAGCTGGCCAAGCCACTTCTTGAAGGACTCCAGCCGCTTCGTGTCGTCGGACACATACGACACCGTCCGAAACAGCTTGGCGCCTTCCAGGAGGTTGAGGTCGCGCATGCGCCACTCCATCTCCTCGTCCACGGCGTGGATGAACTTGAGCGAAAGCTCAAAGCACGCGGTTACATCACCCGCAGTCTCATGGCCTGGCAGTGGGCGTTTGTGCAGGGTGAATTCGAAGGAGACGGCGTTGCCATCCGCGTCAACGCCTTCCGCTTTCATTTCACGCTTATCCAGCTTCTGGTGAGCCTTGATGAAGTCAGGCAGCTGCATCTTCTCTCCGCTGCCAAACGAGTGACCAGGGGACCTGTCGAAGTAGCGCATCTTCAGGCGCATCCGCGTCTGTTGTACAAGGTGCACCACGAGGGTGACGTCCACCTGCTCACATACGATACATGAGGTCAGAACGAGAAGTAGGGGCGTGCGTGAATGTACAAATTAGCTTGACAGTGTGTTACCTGACGTTGCTGAAAGTGCAGATTGAGTTGGTTGAGCTCCCACAGCACATCCGCGAGGAAGCGGATGAGCCAGTGGAACTTGAACGAGGTAACTACCTCGTACAAGTCCTTCTTGTAATCTTTCAGCACGATGGTGGCTGCTGGCAGAACGTCAAGGAACCGTTGGATCGCCTCGCCACGGGAGAGCTAGCGCACGTCGTGTATGCCCTGCGCCTCCAGATTCGTCTGGCAGTAGACGCGCTGCAGATTCTGAAACTTGGTGTAATCCACGCTGCTGCGGCCGATGTGCTCAGAGAACGCACCCACCACGTCGTCCACCGTGCCGAGCTCGGGGACTGCCTCCGCGGCATCCTTTGCGGCCAATGCCTCCCTGCGCATTCAAGAAGAGCATGTCAGAACGTTACTTTGTTGCTGATTCGGTCCTTAATGCAACTCAATTTCAAACCACCATACCTGTGAGCGACACAATGAGTCGAAGCCAAGTGTGGAATGCGCAGTCGCAGCCTCGCCACGACCCCGTTGTTCTTGCCGGTCATCACACTGGCCCCGTCCGTAGATACTCTGGAAATCTTCTGAAGATCTACCCCGATTCCTGTAAGGTAATGCACGACAGCGGAGGTTAGCGAGGCCGCATCGGCACGGTCCACGGTAATCAGAGTTAAGAACTCCGTTACCGGTGCGGTCCCTTTGAAGAAAGTCGCATACAGAATCAGGTGCTTGCCATTCACACGGTCGGTGCTCTCGTCGAGAAAAATCCCTATCCATGGGGATTCCAGCAGGTGACTGCGTTGAGTCTCTTGAAGGTACGTGGAGGTGGCGCGTAGCATCTCTTTGAATCCGTAACTGCCACGGACAAAACACACGGCACACGAACACACATTGCATTAGTATCTCGTGAGCTTGACTCATGGAACAAACATAAGCGCCATAAGCCGCACTTACTCGGTGTAGTAGGCGCCGTACCCTCCAGACGGAGGAAGGTCCGGCAATCCTTCCTTAGCCAAAAACCAGCACAACGGAACAAACATGGCTATTGGCGCGTCAGCCTTGCAGATGAAGAGCGCGATGTGGAGGCAGCGGATGATGTGCCGTGTAGCTGCGTCGGTGCTCTGCCACCTTGTTAGTGTGGCTTGCTTCGCCTTTTCCGCGTCTGCTTTGGCCTCGTTTTCCACGGCCTGCTTGTGGGCTCTGCTTAATGTGTGCGCGCGGATGCTCCCTAGCTGCATGTCTCGCGCACCCTCACCTCTGACGCCGTAGGCAGTGTGCGCGTTTGGATCTTCGTGCTTGATGCAGATGGCACATTTCAATGACGGCCTGCCGTTAGTAATGCGCATTAAGCGCAGCCAGCTGAATTTACCTGACCATTGGGAATCGAACGTTGCTTTTACCGCTTCATACTCAGCTTCTGCTGAAGCGGTTGGAGGCTTCGGCTCGGCAGGAGCAGCACGGCGTGGCGGTGATGCCGCTTGTCGTGGAGGAGGGGCGCCCCAGAGCCTCTGCTGCTTGTATGTCACGCCCACACGCTGTCGCTTCACGGGCGCTGAGCTAATTGTGGACGGGGCTGCTGTGGCTGGCTTCGACGGGCCTTCGCCGCCATCGGGAACAAGCTCGAGAGACGGGTGTGGCTCCCATAACTTCGGCGAAGCTGAACGCTCGCACGGGAAAACGGTGCCGACAACATATTCAGGGGATGCCTCATGCGCAGGTTGAGAGATAGGAGCGCTATAGTTCTCTCTCAGCCGAGGTAACACACCGAGAACGGAGAGACCGTTCCTGGTGCTACCAGGCGGATCTGGCTTTGAGGCAGGCATTCGTAACAACAAACGAGAGACAAGTGAGAGAATGGTGAGAGTCTGAGAGACCCCTTGGGAATCACAAAGCCCAAGGGCCTCAGGCAGCACGGTTCCCGCGCACCGCGGAAACTGCATGGCAGAGGCTGCAAGACCACAATGACTACCAGGTGGTGCAAACGACAGCACGTAAGCCATCTGGCGCCCAATTTGGCAACGTTGGCAGTGAGCGGTGCTTCGGGAGCACACGAAAACCGGGTGTGTTGGCTTTGATGTTGCTCAACGGACCAATCGTAGGTGTACGCATGCATCTGCACTGCTTCTACGTTGGCGCGCCAGTGGGTGTATCGAACAAATGGTCCAGTGGGACCGTGGTGCATTTTTTCATGGCGCGTACTGGGGCGGAATCCTCGGTAAAACAGAGCTTTGGTAAAAGGGTAGTTGAGCCCCTACCCTGATACAGTCAGTGTAACAAAAAAAACCTACAAGAGTACTTTTTATCGTATCCTGATTTCACTAGGGTAAAAAGTTCCATACCCTGATTTCAAAAGGGTAACTGCCAAAAAGTGGCCTACCATCAGGGCAAAAAGGGTAAAATACCCTTGAAATTTGGGGCTTGGTGCGGTGTGTGTTTGCACTTTGAGAGTGCTTCGTTTGTGTGTGTTTCCCTTTGTTTGGTGTGTATGTGTTTATGCATGCCCTGTGATTATAAAGGGCCTTGCTGTAGTATGGCAGGGGAGTGTTAGAGGGTGCTCGACAGCAAGGGCCCTCGACAAATGTTTGACTTGGCAGGTTGACTTATGGCGACTTCGTCTACACGGCTCCGATGCATGAGTTTGGTGGAAATCGGGTGTGACTACGTGTGACTATGTGCAGCTGCGCAGGAGTCCGCATGAAGAAGCACAAGTCTGTGGGAGTCGTTGTTGCTTCCCTGAGAGTCGCACCACTCCTTGTTGTGTTGGTGGATTTGTCAGAATGTTATATTATCTAGCCTGCAGTGGGGTGCTCTATAGCGAGTACAACCCAGTTAGGGTTTGCTATATGTATCCAACTGCTTGCTAGTGAACCCCCTCCTTTCTTCATTCTTGTTTCTGCCTGCTAACTTTGATAGGAATGGCGTGCACGGAAGCGAGAATTCGATGCTGAGTTGGGTTGGAAATGTGCAGGGCCATGCAAAATTTTGTGAACTCTTGCTTGCCTATGTTTGCATGCGTGTTTGCTTTTGTATTCAATAGTTCAAATTGCAATTTCTAGTGAAGTCCAATTGCTACTCAAATTCTCTCACTCAGTTCTTGGAGACCAACACTACCGAAGCGCAACCCCACCGTGCTAGTAGAAGCTCTCTCACTGTCGCAACGCTCTCTGTTCTATTCGTTCATTGCTCAGGCACAGTAGCCGAGTTCACCGTCAGCGGTGCTGCAGAAACTTCTCCGAGTTGAGATTTCCGCGCTTTGAGGAGATTTCTCGAGTCAGCAGGCTATTTTATCTGCGCTGCGAATAATCTGCTCTCCGCCGCGAACGGTGATGTCGTCGACGTCGATGTTCCTCTCGCGACCCAAACCTGATGGTAGCTTATCGTCGTCCTCTCGCTCCTCTGCCGGCGCCCGATTGCGACGGCCTCCTGTGACCTCGTCGCCGGAGACGACCAAGTTGGCACGCCGGCGACGACCGCCGACGCGGTGTGCGACTGTCCGCTGCGTCGCCACAACGTGCACGTGATTGGGACCGGCAAAACGTCGCTGCTGCTGTCGCACGGATTCGGCAGCAACCAAAAAGTACCCCCTGCTTCCACTCAGCCTCTTCCCCCCTTTCCTCACAGCTATTTCCCTCGTACCCCTTACAAACCGCCTCAAAACACCACATAGCTGTCCCATTTTCCTCATCACCGCGCGTATCACCCCGCATATTACCCCACAGGTGTGGGACGGCGTGTTGTCGCACCTGGACCTGCGGCGCACGTTCCGCGTGGTGCTGTGGGACCTCATGGGCGCCCTTCTCCTTTTGCGTCGACTCAAAAGTCAATCCTCCTCACCACCACAACCACCCCAACCACCCCAACCACCCCGCAGGTGTGGGACGGCGTGCTGGCCCACCTGGACCTGAGCCACACGTTCCGCGTGGTGCTGTGGGACCTTATGAGTTAACTTGATTGTCATAATGTCTCACCACCACAACCATCCCGCAGGTGTGGGACGGCGTGCTATCCCACCTGGACCTGCGCCACTCGTTCCGCGTGGTGCTGTGGGACCTCATGGGCGCGCACAGCACGCCCTGCGCGTCGTACGACTTCCAGCGCTACGCCTCGCTCTGCTCGCACGCCGACGACCTGCTTGAAGTGCTACACGCGCTGGGGTTGGCGGGGGGGGAGGCAGAGGGGGACCCGCTGGGGGAGGCGGTGGGCCAGGGGCAGGGCGAGGGGCAGGGCGAGGGGCAGGGCGAGGAAGGGCGAAGGGGGGAGAGGCAGGGCGAGGCGGAGCAGGGCGAGGTGCTCGACGTGCTGGGGGTGGCGGGGGGCGAGGCGCTGGGGGGCGCGGAGGGCGAGGCGGAGGGCGAGGTGGAAGGGGAGGCGGAGGGGAAGGCGGAGGGGGTGGCGGAGAAGAAGGCGAAAGGGGGAGCGGAGGAGGAGGCGGAGGGGGAGGCGGAGGGCGTGGTGTGTGTGGGGCACAGTGTGAGCGGCATGGTGGCGCTGCTTGCGAGTCTTGAGCGGCCCAGCGCGTTCAAACGCCTTCTGCTGCTCGGTGCCTCGCCCAGGTGAGGCCACACAGGCGGTTAAAAACCGGCGGAATCGCACGGGTTGCTCGCCTCGGTGAGGCACCAGGTCTTTTTGAGACATTTCAAACACCCTTCCCCTCCCCACCACCAGGTACCTGAATGAGCCATCTACAGGGTACGTGGGCGGCTTCGACCCCCCAGACCTGGAGCAGCTGTTCCTGGCGGTGAGGGGGAACTACATCGCATGGGCGTCTCAAGCGCCCTCCCCATCCCCTTACCTCCCCACGACCACCAGGTACCTCAACGACCCGTCTACAGGCTACATTGGTGGCTTCGACCCTCCAGACCTGGAGCAGCTGTTCCTGGCAGTGAGGGAGAACTACATAGCGTGGGTGTCGGGGTTCGCACCGCTCATGGTGGGGCGGGACATCAGCAGCGCCCAGGTGCGACAGTTCAGTGAGGGCGTGCTGCTAGTGCGCCCGGACATTGCTCTCAGCGCCCTTCGCACGGCCTTCCAGTCGGATTACAGACATGTGCTGAGACAAGTGGGTTGCTTGTGAATCGTGCGGTGAGAAGCGGGGGGGAATTTGAGGAGGAGCTGGCTTTTGAGCTGACTGGAATGGAACGGACACCTGCTGCTGCCACGGGTGGTTTTTTGAGACGTATCAGAAACGCGAGGTGCGGCAGTTCAGTGAGGGCGTGCTGCTAGTGCGCCCGGACATTGCTCTCAGCGCCCTCCGCACAGCCTTCCAGTCGGACTACACTACAGGCACCTTCTGGGACGGGTGGGTTTGTGAGACATATCGAGTGGGGCTGGGAGGTGCGGCAGGTCAGTGAGGGTGTGCTGTAAGTGCTTTGAGGCATCTCAAAACAGGATCGCTCATGGAGGGCCGGGACATCAGTAGCGCCGAGGTGCGGCAATTCAGTGAGGGCGTGCTGCTTATGCGCCCAGACATTGCTCTCAGCGCCCTCCGCACGGCATTTCAGTCTGATTACAGGCACCTGCTTGGACGGGTAGGTATTTGAGACGTATCACATTGGGTTGGGAGGTGCGGCAGGCAGGTTAGTGAGGGCGTGCTGCTGGTGCGCCCGGACATTGCCCTCAGCACCCTCAGAACAGCCTTTCAGTCGGATTACAGGCACCTTCTGGGACGGGCGAGTTGCTCGTGGTTCGTGCGATAGGAGAGGGATGAAGAGCCGCGGAGGGGAGGAAGATGGGTAGCCTCACGTTCCTGCTTGAAGAATTTTGGCGTGTTCCTGCTTACCAACACCCTCTCCCTTTTCTCATGCACTGTGCATGTAATGCGACGCCGTTCCCGCATCGTATTGACCTTTTTCCCATTCGTCGTTGCCCTTCCATCCTCTCTCCCAGGTATCATGCCCTGTGACAGTGCTGTGTACAAAGAGTGACGCAGCAAGTGAGCGAGTATCTGAGTGGACTCGAAATTTACCACTGAATCAACCCTTCTTCGCGCTCCTCGTTGCCCCCCCTCGCTCCTTGTTGCCCTTGTCTCGCCAGGTATCATGCCCCTTGACAGTGCTATCCACAAAGAGTGACCCGGCAGTGCCAATGCAAGTGAGCGAGTATCTGAGGGAGGCGATACCTGGGGCGAGCATGGAGGTGCTACCCACACATGGCCACCTCCCCCACCTCACCCACCCTGCTGTCGTTGCTCAAGCCATCCAACGCCATGCTGCTGCCCACGCCGCTGTGGACCACGCTGTAGAGCACCGTACCGCACCACACCGCACGGAACCGCATAGCACTGCACGGTGTTGCGTAGAGGCAGGAGACGCACTGCAAAAGGCTTGGGGATGCGGAGGTGGGGTGGACAGGGCTGGCTTGGATACCCAGCAGTCCGACCGTTGGATCTCTCCTTGCTGCTGCATCCAACACAGAGGGCTTTCTGGAGCATCCCACACAGAGGCACAGAGGGATTGCTTGCTGCAGAGGCAGCAGGGCAAGGCACAGGCAAATGCAGCAAGCAGAGGCAGCAAGCAGAGACAGCAGGAAGCGACAAGAAGCAAAGCAGGAGGAAGAGACAACAAGCAGAGCAGCAGGAAGAGACAACAAGCAGAGCAGCAGGAAGAGACAACAAGCAGAGCAGCAGGAAGAGACAACAAGCAGAGCAGCAGGAAGAGACAACAAGCAGAGCAGCAGGAAGAGACAACAAGCAGAGCAGCAGGAAGAGACAACAAGCAGAGCAGCAGGAAGAGACAACAAGCAGAGCAGCAGGAAGAGACAACAAGCAGAGCAGCAGGAAGAGACAACAAGCAGAGCAGCAGGAAGAGACAACAAGCAGAGCAGCAGGAAGAGACAACAAGCAGAGCAGCAGGAAGAGACAACAAGCAGAGGCAGCTGGAAGAGACAACAAGCAGAGCAGCAGGAAGAGACAACAAGCAGAGGCAGCTGGAAGAGACAACAAGCAGAGCAGCAGGAAGAGACAACAAGCAGAGCAGCAGGAAGAGACAACAAGCAGAGCAGCAGGAAGAGACAACAAGCAGAGCAGCAGGAAGAGACAACAAGCAGAGCAGCAGGAAGAGACAACAAGCAGAGCAGCAGGAAGAGACAACAAGCAGAGCTAGGAAGAGACAACAAGCAGAGCAGCAGGAAGAGACAACAAGCAGAGCAGCAGGAAGAGACAACAAGCAGAGCAGCAGGAAGAGACAACAAGCAGAGCAGCAGGAAGAGACAACAAGCAGAGCAGCAGGAAGAGACAACAAGCAGAGCAGCAGGAAGAGACAACAAGCAGAGCAGCAGGAAGAGACAACAAGCAGAGCAGCAGGAAGAGACAACAAGCAGAGCAGCAGGAAGAGACAACAAGCAGAGCAGCAGGAAGAGACAACAAGCAGAGGCAGCTGGAAGAGACAACAAGCAGAGCAGCAGGAAGAGACAACAAGCAGAGCAGCAGGAAGAGACAACAAGCAGAGCAGCAGGAAGAGACAACAAGCAGAGCAGCAGGAAGAGACAACAAGCAGAGCAGCAGGAAGAGACAACAAGCAGAGCAGCAGGAAGAGACAACAAGCAGAGCAGCAGGAAGAGACAACAAGCAGAGCAGCAGGAAGAGACAACAAGCAGAGCAGCAGGAAGAGACAACAAGCAGAGCAGCAGGAAGAGACAACAAGCAGAGCAGCAGGAAGAGACAACAAGCAGAGCAGCAGGAAGAGACAACAAGCAGAGCAGCAGGAAGAGACAACAAGCAGAGCAGCAGGAAGAGACAACAAGCAGAGCAGCAGGAAGAGACAACAAGCAGAGCAGCAGGAAGAGACAACAAGCAGAGCAGCAGGAAGAGACAACAAGCAGAGCAGCAGGAAGAGACAACAAGCAGAGCAGCAGGAAGAGACAACAAGCAGAGCAGCAGGAAGAGACAACAAGCAGAGCAGCAGGAAGAGACAACAAGCAGAGGCAGCTGGAAGAGACAACAAGCAGAGCAGCAGGAAGAGACAACAAGCAGAGCAGCAGGAAGAGACAACAAGCAGAGCAGCAGGAAGAGACAACAAGCAGAGCAGCAGGAAGAGACAACAAGCAGAGCAGCAGGAAGAGACAACAAGCAGAGCAGCAGGAAGAGACAACAAGCAGAGCAGCAGGAAGAGACAACAAGCAGAGCAGCAGGAAGAGACAACAAGCAGAGCAGCAGGAAGAGACAACAAGCAGAGCAGCAGGAAGAGACAACAAGCAGAGCAGCAGGAAGAGACAACAAGCAGAGCAGCAGGAAGAGACAACAAGCAGAGCAGCAGGAAGAGACAACAAGCAGAGCAGCAGGAAGAGACAACAAGCAGAGCAGCAGGAAGAGACAACAAGCAGAGCAGCAGGAAGAGACAACAAGCAGAGCAGCAGGAAGAGACAACAAGCAGAGCAGCAGGAAGAGACAACAAGCAGAGCAGCAGGAAGAGACAACAAGCAGAGCAGCAGGAAGAGACAACAAGCAGAGCAGCAGGAAGAGACAACAAGCAGAGCAGCAGGAAGAGACAACAAGCAGAGCAGCAGGAAGAGACAACAAGCAGAGCAGCAGGAAGAGACAACAAGCAGAGCAGCAGGAAGAGACAACAAGCAGAGCAGCAGGAAGAGACAACAAGCAGAGCAGCAGGAAGAGACAACAAGCAGAGCAGCAGGAAGAGACAACAAGCAGAGCAGCAGGAAGAGACAACAAGCAGAGCAGCAGGAAGAGACAACAAGCAGAGCAGCAGGAAGAGACAACAAGCAGAGCAGCAGGAAGAGACAACAAGCAGAGGCGGCAAGCAGCATCGGTGGATGGCACTGCAGTTAGTAACAACTGATTTGTGCAGCCAAACTCAAGGCACACTGAGCTCAACGAATGAGGGTGGCACCAGTACTTCTCTGTGTGGGTATGGGTGGGACCCATTCAAAGAACTGCAAGCATGGCTAGCAGCAAGCAATGGCAGTTGCATGTGTATTCATTCATTCATTCCCCTGTACAGCTGTCCATGTAGTGATGAATACAATTCGGTTAAATGGTGTTGTGAGCTTATTGCTTTGCATGCAACAAGTCAAACCAGGAAAAACTACTGTGGTTTTAAGCGAGCCAGCCTCTCTGCAAATCCCCATTGGTTACTCGATGATGCGAGTGGCGATTCATCCCTGGCTGTGTCATCCGCAGCACCCACACCATCACCATCGCCATCACCATCACCATCACCATCACCCCCAGTTACACTACCCGTTAGACTTGCTCTGTTCCCCCTGCCACCTTGTATCCCAGCTCCACTTTCAGAATCCTTTGCCTCATAAGCCGTCTCCTCATACTCAGATACTTGATAAACACTTGAGTCATATGCGTCTGTGTGCTTAGCTCTAGTCCTGCCTTCCACATCTTCAGCGTGAGCTGGCAGGTCTGTCTGTGGGAGGTTCGGAGCAGGGGAGGTTTCTTCCTGCAGTGCTGCTGGCATGTGCGAGAGAGGCAGGTCGGAGTGAGCACTCATAGTAGACTGTGCTCCTGGGGACTTGGGCACCACTGTAGACGGGGTGTTTTGTGATTGTACACCGTGTGACTGTAGCGCAGGTAGATGTAACCCGTAAGATTGTGGCTGCACCCCGTGTGGCTGTACCTTATGTGACTGTACCCCATGTGACTGTACTCCGTGTGACTGTATGCCATGTGACTGTAAGCCATGCAACTGCGGCCCCAGGAGTGGGGTGCTGTGGGGCAGCAGGTGGCTGTCAGTGCTGCTGGCGGGGGTGTGCAGGGAGGAGCGTGTGGAGGAGGCTCGCTTGAGCAGCAGCGAGCGCAGGAAGGCGGGGAACTGCGGGTTGGCGGCATCGTGATGAATGAAGGGAAACCACTCCGTGCTGTCTGCTATGCTCACAGGGGTCCTGCATGGGAGGCAGTGAGGAGAGAGCATGGTAACGTAGAGATGAGAGCAAGGCAACGAGGCATGGACAAGGAAGGCGGGGAACTGCGGGTTGGCGGCGTCGTGGTGAATGAAGGGGAACCACTCCGTGCTGTCTGCTATGCTCACAGGCGACCTGCACACTTGGCGGGTGAGGGGGATAAAGACGGAGGCATGAGAGCATGGCAATAAGGGATCACAAGGGACCTGCAAGGAAGGAGGGCAAATGCGGGTTGGCGGCGATGTGGTGAATGAATGGGAACCACTCCGTGCTGTCTGCTATGCTCACAGGGGACCTACATGCATGGGAGACTATCAGATAAGCACATGGACATGTGAGCGAGGCAAGATGGCATCGACAGGAAGGTGGTAAAACTGCAGGTTGGCTGCGTCGTGGTGAATTAAGGAAAACCATTCCGTGCTCCCCATGCTCTCATGTTTGCATCTTTATCTGCCTGCCTCCCATGCAGGCAACCTGCTCCCATCCTTTTGAGGCGCCTCAAAAATCATGTGGGGCATGAGGGCAATGCGCGGTTGGTGAAGAAGAGCCGCTGCATGGTGTTTGTTATTGTTGATATTTCTAAAAATCCGCTCTCAAGGAAGGAATACACCTGCATGGAGGGTATGTGTGCCAGTATGTGCGATGGGGCCAGGTGGAGTGGGAGCATGTGCGGTGTGGGTATGTGAGGTGCGGGGTTCTTAGGTGTGGCCATATGTGTGAGTTTGGAGCGGAAATGTGAGGTGCAATGGGTGGTGCGGGAGGAGAACAATTGCATTCCACTCCATGGCACGTCACTACCCACCTGGGGCTCTCTTGCAGCAGCATGGGCGTGCGTTCATCCACCTCCCCCCACAGCTGGTCCACCACAGCAGCGGGCAGCCCCTGTGTGCTGTAGCAGTCGTCCTGGTACCACACGCACAGATGCACCAGCTGATTCGCGTTCAGGTCTGGACACAGCGAGCGCAGGTGCTGCAGCGAGCACGACGGCTTGTGCTCCATTGCCTGAGGAGGGGAATGGAGGGTTGGAAAAGGGGAGAAGAGAAAGGGCTGATGAGGAAGGGGGGTGTGGGCCAGAGCAAGCACAGGTGCAACAGCGAGCATGAGGGCTTGTGCTCCATTGCCTAGAGGAGGGGGGATTGGGGGGGACGGGCGGGGACAGGAGGGATGAAGAGGGGGTGAGGAGCAGGAAAGAGCAGAGAACAGCTGGATCGGTCAAGAGAGCAGTGCAGATAGGTGCGGCAGTAAGCATGAGAGTTTGTGCTCCATGGCTTTGGAAAAAGGGGGGGGGGGTTGAGTGGAGGGAAGAAGGAGAGTTCGGAGCAGAAAAGAGAAGAGACGTGTGTTCTGAGTCGACTCAAAACACACCAGGGCACGCAGGTGCAGCAGCAAGCACGAAAGTTTGTGCTCCATGGCTTAGGAAAGTGGGGGGTTGGGTAGTGGAGAGGAGAGTGAGGAGCAGAAAATAGCAGAGAGGACTTGAGGCAGGGGGCATGATCATGCATACACACTGCAATGATCAGCACCACACTGCACCCACCAGCACCACACTGCACCCACCAGCAGCGACACGGCTTGCTGTAGATGCCTCAAGTGCCGCCACACAGACTTCTTCGCCTGCCCTGCATCCTCCTCCTCCTCACTCGCTTCCCCCTCACCTCCCTCCTCTCCTCCCTCCTCCCCTCCATCTCTCCCATCCTCCCCCTCCCCTCCATCCATCCCCATCCCAGCGTCCCCTCGGTGCGCATGCAGCGGCTCCCAGAGCACCTCGGGGAGCTCTTCCAGGAAGACGTTCAGCAGGGCCAGCGCGTCGCACAGCAGCTTGCCGTTGCTGTGCGTGCACGGACACCACGTGCTGCGCACCATCAGGCTGGGGTGGGGAAAGAAAGGGGACAGGAAATCACTTGCCCTCATTGCCGTTGCTGTGCGTGCACGGACACCACGTGCTGCGCACCATCAGGCTGGGGTGGGGAAAGAAAGGGGACAGGAAATCACTTGCCCTCATTGCCGTTGCTGTGCGTGCACAAACACCACGTGCTGCGCACCATCAGGCTGGGGTGGGGAAAGAAAGGGGACAGGAAATCACTTGCCCTCATTGCCGTTGCTGTGCGTGCACGGACACCACGTGCTGCGCACCATCAGGCTGGGGTGGGGAAAGAAAGGGGACAGGAAATCACTTGCCCTCATTGCCGTTGCTGTGCGTGCACGGACACCACGTGCTGCGCACCATCAGGCTGGGGTGGGGAAAGAAAGGGGACAGGAAATCACTTGCCCTCATTGCCGTTGCTGTGCGTGCACGGACACCACGTGCTGCGCACCATCAGGCTGGGGTGGGGAAAGAAAGGGGACAGGAAATCACTTGCCCTCATTGCCGTTGCTGTGCGTGCACAAACACCACGTGCTGCGCACCATCAGGCTGGGGTGGGGAAAGAAAGGGGACAGGAAATCACTTGCCCTCATTGCCGTTGCTGTGCGTGCACGGACACCACGTGCTGCGCACCATCAGGCTGGGGTGGGGAAAGAAAGGGGACAGGAAATCACTTGCCCTCATTGCCGTTGCTGTGCGTGCACGGACACCACGTGCTGCGCACCATCAGGCTGGGGTGGGGAAAGAAAGGGGACAGGAAATCACTTGCCCTCATTGCCGTTGCTGTGCGTGCACGGACACCACGTGCTGCGCACCATCAGGCTGGGGTGGGGAAAGAAAGGGGACAGGAAATCACTTGCCCTCATTGCCGTTGCTGTGCGTGCACAAACACCACGTGCTGCGCACCATCAGGCTGGGGTGGGGAAAGAAAGGGGACAGGAAATCACTTGCCCTCATTGCCGTTGCTGTGCGTGCACGGACACCACGTGCTGCGCACCATCAGGCTGGGGTGGGGAAAGAAAGGGGACAGGAAATCACTTGCCCTCATTGCCGTTGCTGTGCGTGCACGGACACCACGTGCTGCGCACCATCAGGCTGGGGTGGGGAAAGAAAGGGGACAGGAAATCACTTGCCCTCATTGCCGTTGCTGTGCGTGCACGGACACCACGTGCTGCGCACCATCAGGCTGGGGTGGGGAAAGAAAGGGGACAGGAAATCACTTGCCCTCATTGCCGTTGCTGTGCGTGCACAAACACCACGTGCTGCGCACCATCAGGCTGGGGTGGGGAAAGAAAGGGGACAGGAAATCACTTGCCCTCATTGCCGTTGCTGTGCGTGCACGGACACCACGTGCTGCGCACCATCAGGCTGGGGTGGGGAAAGAAAGGGGACAGGAAATCACTTGCCCTCATTGCCGTTGCTGTGCGTGCACGGACACCACGTGCTGCGCACCATCAGGCTGGGGTGGGGAAAGAAAGGGGACAGGAAATCACTTGCCCTCATTGCCGTTGCTGTGCGTGCACGGACACCACGTGCTGCGCACCATCAGGCTGGGGTGGGGAAAGAAAGGGGACAGGAAATCACTTGCCCTCATTGCCGTTGCTGTGCGTGCACAAACACCACGTGCTGCGCACCATCAGGCTGGGGTGGGGAAAGAAAGGGGACAGGAAATCACTTGCCCTCATTGCCGTTGCTGTGCGTGCACGGACACCACGTGCTGCGCACCATCAGGCTGGGGTGGGGAAAGAAAGGGGACAGGAAATCACTTGCCCTCATTGCCGTTGCTGTGCGTGCACGGACACCACGTGCTGCGCACCATCAGGCTGGGGTGGGGAAAGAAAGGGGACAGGAAATCACTTGCCCTCATTGCCGTTGCTGTGCGTGCACGGACACCACGTGCTGCGCACCATCAGGCTGGGGTGGGGAAAGAAAGGGGACAGGAAATCACTTGCCCTCATTGCCGTTGCTGTGCGTGCACAAACACCACGTGCTGCGCACCATCAGGCTGGGGTGGGGAAAGAAAGGGGACAGGAAATCACTTGCCCTCATTGCCGTTGCTGTGCGTGCACGGACACCACGTGCTGCGCACCATCAGGCTGGGGTGGGGAAAGAAAGGGGACAGGAAATCACTTGCCCTCATTGCCGTTGCTGTGCGTGCACGGACACCACGTGCTGCGCACCATCAGGCTGGGGTGGGGAAAGAAAGGGGACAGGAAATCACTTGCCCTCATTGCCGTTGCTGTGCGTGCACGGACACCACGTGCTGCGCACCATCAGGCTGGGGTGGGGAAAGAAAGGGGACAGGAAATCACTTGCCCTCATTGCCGTTGCTGTGCGTGCACAAACACCACGTGCTGCGCACCATCAGGCTGGGGTGGGGAAAGAAAGGGGACAGGAAATCACTTGCCCTCATTGCCGTTGCTGTGCGTGCACAAACACCACGTGCTGCGCACCATCAGGCTGGGGTGGGGAAAGAAAGGGGACAGGAAATCACTTGCCCTCATTGCCGTTGCTGTGCGTGCACGGACACCACGTGCTGCGCACCATCAGGCTGGGGTGGGGAAAGAAAGGGGACAGGAAATCACTTGCCCTCATTGCCGTTGCTGTGCGTGCACAAACACCACGTGCTGCGCACCATCAGGCTGGGGTGGGGAAAGAAAGGGGACAGGAAATCACTTGCCCTCATTGCCGTTGCTGTGCGTGCACGGACACCACGTGCTGCGCACCATCAGGCTGGGGTGGGGAAAGAAAGGGGACAGGAAATCACTTGCCCTCATTGCCGTTGCTGTGCGTGCACAAACACCACGTGCTGCGCACCATCAGGCTGGGGTGGGGAAAGAAAGGGGACAGGAAATCACTTGCCCTCATTGCCGTTGCTGTGCGTGCACAAACACCACGTGCTGCGCACCATCAGGCTGGGGTGGGGAAAGAAAGGGGACAGGAAATCACTTGCCCTCATTGCCGTTGCTGTGCGTGCACAAACACCACGTGCTGCGCACCATCAGGCTGGGGTGGGGAAAGAAAGGGGACAGGAAATCACTTGCCCTCATTGCCGTTGCTGTGCGTGCACGGACACCACGTGCTGCGCACCATCAGGCTGGGGTGGGGAAAGAAAGGGGACAGGAAATCACTTGCCCTCATTGCCGTTGCTGTGCGTGCACGGACACCACGTGCTGCGCACCATCAGGCTGGGGTGGGGAAAGAAAGGGGACAGGAAATCACTTGCCCTCATTGCCGTTGCTGTGCGTGCACAAACACCACGTGCTGCGCACCATCAGGCTGGGGTGGGGAAAGAAAGGGGACAGGAAATCACTTGCCCTCATTGCCGTTGCTGTGCGTGCACGGACACCACGTGCTGCGCACCATCAGGCTGGGGTGGGGAAAGAAAGGGGACAGGAAATCACTTGCCCTCATTGCCGTTGCTGTGCGTGCACGGACACCACGTGCTGCGCACCATCAGGCTGGGGTGGGGAAAGAAAGGGGACAGGAAATCACTTGCCCTCATTGCCGTTGCTGTGCGTGCACGGACACCACGTGCTGCGCACCATCAGGCTGGGGTGGGGAAAGAAAGGGGACAGGAAATCACTTGCCCTCATTGCCGTTGCTGTGCGTGCACAAACACCACGTGCTGCGCACCATCAGGCTGGGGTGGGGAAAGAAAGGGGACAGGAAATCACTTGCCCTCATTGCCGTTGCTGTGCGTGCACGGACACCACGTGCTGCGCACCATCAGGCTGGGGTGGGGAAAGAAAGGGGACAGGAAATCACTTGCCCTCATTGCCGTTGCTGTGCGTGCACGGACACCACGTGCTGCGCACCATCAGGCTGGGGTGGGGAAAGAAAGGGGACAGGAAATCACTTGCCCTCATTGCCGTTGCTGTGCGTGCACAAACACCACGTGCTGCGCACCATCAGGCTGGGGTGGGGAAAGAAAGGGGACAGGAAATCACTTGCCCTCATTGCCGTTGCTGTGCGTGCACGGACACCACGTGCTGCGCACCATCAGGCTGGGGTGGGGAAAGAAAGGGGACAGGAAATCACTTGCCCTCATTGCCGTTGCTGTGCGTGCACGGACACCACGTGCTGCGCACCATCAGGCTGGGGTGGGGAAAGAAAGGGGACAGGAAATCACTTGCCCTCATTGCCGTTGCTGTGCGTGCACAAACACCACGTGCTGCGCACCATCAGGCTGGGGTGGGGAAAGAAAGGGGACAGGAAATCACTTGCCCTCATTGCCGTTGCTGTGCGTGCACAAACACCACGTGCTGCGCACCATCAGGCTGGGGTGGGGAAAGAAAGGGGACAGGAAATCACTTGCCCTCATTGCCGTTGCTGTGCGTGCACAAACACCACGTGCTGCGCACCATCAGGCTGGGGTGGGGAAAGAAAGGGGACAGGAAATCACTTGCCCTCATTGCCGTTGCTGTGCGTGCACGGACACCACGTGCTGCGCACCATCAGGCTGGGGTGGGGAAAGAAAGGGGACAGGAAATCACTTGCCCTCATTGCCGTTGCTGTGCGTGCACGGACACCACGTGCTGCGCACCATCAGGCTGGGGTGGGGAAAGAAAGGGGACAGGAAATCACTTGCCCTCATTGCCGTTGCTGTGCGTGCACAAACACCACGTGCTGCGCACCATCAGGCTGGGGTGGGGAAAGAAAGGGGACAGGAAATCACTTGCCCTCATTGCCGTTGCTGTGCGTGCACAAACACCACGTGCTGCGCACCATCAGGCTGGGGTGGGGAAAGAAAGGGGACAGGAAATCACTTGCCCTCATTGCCGTTGCTGTGCGTGCACAAACACCACGTGCTGCGCACCATCAGGCTGGGGTGGGGAAAGAAAGGGGACAGGAAATC